CATGCCCTGACTTAGATCAGCCCAGAGTTTGTAAAACTGAGATGTTCGATAAAATTAAGGTTTTTAAAAAAAATGAGAATAAACTTGTAATTTAGCTGCAAGTCTAGAAGATTAAAATAAATCATCAAAGTTTAGCCAGTTATTACAAATCAATATCGATCCAATTTATCCAGTTTTGACCACGACTTAAATGTGTATATCCAAACTATTATGGTGTTCTGCTCTAGACAAATTTGACAGGTTTTTTTCTATTTTAATTCTGTTTTAAGACTCGTTCACATGACGTCTACTAATAGCTTAGACGTGAACTTTATTAGGTGACAATATAATTTAAGCATAGCGCATGATAGTCTTACTAAAGATAAGTTAAGAGACATCTCTTCTGAGATTTCTAGCTACAGCATTATCCATTTTACTTGAGATCCGTATTTGCCTCGGGTAAGTCTTTCTATATTTTCTCATACTCAAAACTCGGAAAACATATGTTGGAGGTCCATTAAGCTTCCCTCAAGAGTTTTAGTGTTTACTTATACTACACTTTTTGTAGTTTTGATAAAATAACAGGGGTTTTTTACCTTTGTTTTTCTTTTTTGGGTTATTTGACCCTTTTTTTTTGTTATTTCACAGTTTATAGTTTAGTATTTTGATACTCTTTGTATAACTATAATTAACATGTCCAATTGCGAGTAAAGCTTTTAATATTGATCTTTGCCATTTTTCTCAAACCTTTTCAGGTTTTTTCAAGTTTAGTATGTTAATGAATATCAAGGACAAAAAAAAAAACAATTGCCAAATTAGAAAAACCCTGCTATTTTTCGCATGACAGAATACTGTTTTTAACTATTTTCATCAGAAAACCACTTTTGCCGGACTTTGGGATATTTTTTTTTCCAGTTTTCTTTTCTAAGAACAGACGTCTTGTTCGTTAAAGACGTGAACATTCTAATTAAGTAGTCCAACATTCTACATATTTATCAGTCAAAAAGTTAATCCACAAGAAATCAGAGCCGAGGCTTTTAATACCTTACGACTGCATGGTTTGTTTTTTTTTTCTTTTGTATTATTCTCGATAGTAGTGATATTCAGTGATATCAGTGATATTCCCTTGATTTATCGCAACAAAGGCAGGTAGACCCACCTGACGTCTGCATTGATGGCCAGCATGACAATCTAATCCATTCGCTGTACATAAATACAATTATGTGACAGTGTGAGTGACTTGCTGAGGCCTAAATTTCTGCATACATCCTGTTGACAACTTAACCTTGGTTCATAAACTGGTGCGTAATTAGAGATAGTAGTTTTAGGTCTCTATTGTCGTCAAGTATAATCTCTTATCTTTATTTACAAGTCGCCCAAAGCTACACTTTATATCTGTCACAACATCGAATCTAAAATAATGGACGATTGTATCAATTTCGTAGCAACAGAGTCTGCTAAACTTCTTGGTTGAAGTGCTCTTAGGCAAGTTTTACTTTCAAATCTCTAATTTAAATTTTTTTTTAGCCATTTTTTCAAATCGACATGGAAACGATGAAGTTGCTATCGTGTGTTTTTAAAGACCTTTCTGTAGACGTATACATACATTGATATCGTTATCGTTATATTGAATTCTGAGTTGATTGTATGGTAGTGATCAAAGGTAATTTTCTTGAAGAAAGTGGGGGGAGTTATTTTGTCTGTTTGGAGAGATTCATGGTTTTTGATCCACTAAAAACACTACCCTTTCACCCTCTTATTCATTTGTTTATTTATTTGTAGCGGATTTGTGTTCAATAACAAATCCTCTTACTTTTATTTCTTTCAAAAGTCTACTTTCGTCTTTATTATCATTATTATTATTATTATTATTATTATTATTATTATTATTATTATTCCTTTTTTCTTTCTTTCTATATTGATGTTTCTCA